AACCTCAAGCACCTTCAGGAATAGCAGTATGAATGTATCCTAGTGTACTGTCTTCTTGCTTAATTCTCTCTTTCCATCTCTTTTTGTACTGACATTGCCACATTGAAAATCACCATTTTTCTTTCTTTCTTGGTTGGATTTGACTTGTTCCTTCTTTCTGGAGTGTGTTTTGATTTCATGGAGGAATTTAATCATGTTTAGAAGAATTGTAAGTTTAGAATTTCGAAGTGTAATCTATGTTGTCATTTATTGTGTGAGTGTAATAGTGTGGTGATTTGGCATGGGCTTGTAAGATGGAAGTTGTGGGGTGTTATTTGTACAAATGCTGCTATGGATATCACATTCACAGTTTATGCCCTATGGGTGTTTGACAAAATGCCCGAGAGAGCATTTTTAATACTTTGACCTTCCGTATTGTTTATTCTTTCAGAATATGAACTAAATTGATGAGGTTTCCTGTATTCTTATCTGATTCAATAATGTGCAGGTCAGCAAAAAAGGTTTCTTCTAATCTCAACGTTGTACAACTCATATGCCGCTCCATTAGAAGGAAAGCTAACAATGCTTACTGTCTTTTGTTTCCTTCCACGCCTATTGTGAGTATCGCTGCATTTTATCTTTGAGAAATTTTAAGCTTAGTAACTTGTTCAATGAGAAGAATATGTTTCCTTCAATATATTGGGATCAAGAAGTCATACTTCTTCTATGTTCTTTGTGTGCTGTATATGTATGTGTCTGCTTAAGTTTGTATCTCGTTTTCTTGTTCCTTTTTCTCTTTCTGTATTTATTTTTCAACTAAATATATTCACTGCTAAACAATATTTTTGGATTAAGTATATTTTGGTTTCTTTTTTGATAAAATATTAAGTTAATTTATTAGATTTCCATCTTTCTTTGTATTAAGTCATTGTCCAAATTGTTTAATTATAGGGCTTTATCACTTTGGTATAGTAATTTTTTCTCCTTATGGTAATTATGCAATCAGATGAACATGTATACAATTTATTAGCTTGAAATGTACTGATGGCTATGTTGGTTGATTAGCTGAAAAATAAGGTTGCACACATGTGATTGGCATGTATTAGTGTGATATGGAGTCGGAGTGAGAAAGTCTAGTGTGTGGTATCTTATGATAAGGTCCTTGTAGATTTGACGACGAACCAATTCTTTCTTTCTTAAAGTTGTGTTTTCTAATAAGAATTTTTATTCGTTGACGGAAGATAACTTCTGAAATAATTCAGTTGATTGCTCTATTGCATAAAGAAGATGCTACTAATAAAAGTAGCTACTCTATATAACTTCATTTTTTAAAATCATTCTTGCATGTAGATTATGATATCTTCTTTTAACTTTCAACTACTTGCTAATTCATAACCTACTTTGTGAAAATATACTAGGTTTACTACCTCAGACAACCTTCTTGTCTCAATTAAGGAAAATATCAAATGGGCGGATGCACAAGTGAATTGGAGAGGAAGCTACTAAAGCGAAGTAGCAAAAAGAGTTGTGGACGTGAAGAAATCTCTTGTTGGTGAACTAGTTGCATTTTCAAGAATCCATCCTAATTGTTTGATCCAATCACTATTTAATTATAAAGACGTACAACTATGCATAATTTCATTCTTGGAATTAGTTATAGAGATCTTCTGTTTACAAATAGTTTATTTCGATTCACATTCTCTATGTGAATGACATTTGTAACTATATAATGTTGATATTTGATGGTTATGATTTCTATATTTTCCTTTCAATAGTAAGTGCAAACGTCAATCAGTAATTTTGATATTAACAAGATGTGTTGCATAAGTGTCACTAAACTCAAAAATTCTCGATACTTCTATATGTCGTAAATAAAATAAATTAGAAGCCAATATTTATTTACTGACATTATGTGAAATGTCAGAAATTATAATGTGACATTTTCGTAAAGGTCATAATAAATGTCGTAAATTTTTTACCGACATTAGAATAAATGTCGAAAAATTACCGACATCGAAATTTGCGACATTTGAACTAAGTGTAAAATAAATGTTGGTAAGTGATTTTGTGACATTTATGTGACTTAATACGACATTTATAAAATGTCACCATAGCTCATATTTCTTGTAGTGCTAGGCTTTGTTAGACTTAGCCGTTGTCTTGGGAACCCCCCGTCTTTACCCTTGCCACGGTCAATAATGTCTCTAGTCCGGGCGTCGACGAGCCTCGAGGGAGGGAACTCGGTCACAACTTTGCGGCCTCGAGGCTTCGAGATGATCTTCCGGAATGCCTTAATGACAGGAAATTGGACACTCCGATTTCATCATATACAAGGGCAAATTTGTAGCCACGAACCCTTAAATTCTTGGTAGACATGTAACATTTATCAATGGTTTTAACATGCTAGTAAAAGGTTAGTCTGGCAATAAGGTTTCATCTATAACTAAAATGGAGCAATGCAATACAAGAAGAGGAGTGAAAGAAGAGGGTACACAACCTGATAAACCCAAAATAACAGGGCTGTAGTAGCTTGAAATATAAGAAGATTTAATAAAGTGTTTAAGCACAAAGAGATGAAGGTATTTCAGAGGGAGAATAAAGTTTCTGATAGTAATAACATAGAGTTCAAGACACAAAGCTGCTAAGATTATGAACAAAGTTGTACCTGGCTGGAGCAAACTAAAAGGTCTTATAAAATATTAATCCATTAGTTTTACGGTCGTGATGATGTTGCACAGCTCATACATGGTATGGTGAGAGTTGAACCAAAGATTTTAATTTTTAGCAGTTTTGGACGGCATGTGATGCAAGACATAATGGACTTATAGGATACACTAAGAGACCTAGATGAACAAATGGTAGATCTATGGCTAATAATGGGTGATTTTAACACTATCTTAGATGCTACAGATAGAGTACATGGAAGTGAAGAATAAGACAGTGAGCCCAAATATTATATGAGTTTCATGGAAGACTGTAGACTGACAAAGCTACCAACTATTTCTAAATCATACACAAAAACACATAGTCATTTTTATATCATAATAGCCATGGCTATTGTGAATGCCCGTTGGATGGCTAGGATGACTCCACTATTTTTAAGACTACTCTCCCCGTGGCATTGAGGTAGATGAAATAATTGAGAATAACAAGAGACCATTTAGATTTTACAATTGTATAATAGCACATCGTGAGTTTGGCAAGATAGTCCAAATACATTGGCTCTAACATGATGAAGAATAACAGATATATGAAGAGTCTGAAAAAAAAAACTAAGAAAGGTATTGAAGAGTCTAAATAGGGGAGACTTTATAGGTGCAATTAAGAAGATTAACTCCCTCAGAGGTGAGTTGAAAGATATCCAAGGGCAAATGAGGGACACCAATGTACCTAATACTCTATTTGAAGTAGAAAAGGATCTCAGACTACAACTGGAGAAATGGTGCATAATTTAGGAGAGTATCTATGGAAAAAAAATCTAGAGTGCAATGGCTCATACTGGAGGATTCTAACACTGCATACTTTTTTTAAAACATGAAGGGAAGGAAGGCTCAAAATCAAATAAGAATATTCATATCAACAAACAGTGAATTGATTACAAGTGTAAAGGGCATTGAAGGTGTAATTATAAAGTTTTATAGGTAATTACTTAGGTCTGCAACAACAAGCTTGCCTGTTATACACCCTAAAGTGGCAAAGGAAGGGCCTATACTTAACAAGAACCAACAAGCCAGCTTATTAATCCTCTCACTAAAGAGAAAGTAGTTCAAGATGTTAAGGGAATTGATGATTTGAAAGCACTACGTAGAGATGGGTTTAATGCATGTTTTATCAAAATTTTATGGCCTATTATTGGTAAAGAGGTAACAAATTTTGTATTAGAGTTCTTTAAAACTAGCAACATGTGTAAGCGCATTAATAAAACGTCAGTCACTTTAATCCCTAAAACGGAAAATCCCTCATAAATCAAGAAGTATAGGCCTAATTTTTACAAGATTATATCCAAAACTAGTGAATATATCCGCGCTTCGCGTGGTTAAAAAAATGAAAACATAAATTTTTTTTTTTTTTTGCAAGTTTAGTTGAGATAGAAGAGATTAATTTTGTTTTATGTGATTATAAAATTAATTTTATATCATATTATAATCTTTCTTTAGAGTTTTCTTTCTCATGGTTGTTCTTTTTATATACATATCATTAGAATTTAGAACCTTCAATGTTATGTCGTACGCTTACAATTATTGTGCTGCTAAGAAAGAGAATAGTGAATACATAAAATAAATTTTTGCAAGTTTAGTTGAGACAGAAGAGATTAAAAAGATAATGTATATGAGTAAAAAATTAATTTTATATCACAAACATAAATCTTTTCCTAGAGTCTCTTTCTCATGGTTATTTTTTATTATGTACAAACCTTCAATTTTAGAATACACTTGTAACTATTATTATCCTCATTATAGCAATAAGCATTCTTTCATTTTTACAAAAATATTTGTCGCATGTAATTCTTTTTCAACACTTGATACTTGTAGTCATGACCCAAAAACCTCATTGGTTCACATGAACTGTTGGATTGAAAGCGCATAATAAAGTGTTTCTTGATATAAGAAAAGAAAATACCTAACTAATTAAGAAATTAAATAATAATTTGCATTGTCATTTACCTAAATATTGGAAGATATATTGTGTTACATTGAAAATATTATTATCATAACTTACATGATTCAATATTAAAGATCAGCTGTAAATATATAAAAGAGGAAAAAATAGGACATACAACATGCTTACTTAAGAAAAAGTAGATAAAATGTCACGACCCCAAACCCGGTCGTGATGGCGCCCAACACTAATGCTAGGCAAGCCCGACCAATTAAACACTCTCAACCCAAATACGCAAACTGTTAACCAATAATACCATTAAAATAGTAAGTATCAAGTTCCAAATCCGGAATTTAGATAAAATAGTACGAAAAATAATAACGAATATATCAAACAATTCCCCAATAGATCTGGAGTCACGAGTCTAGAGCCTCTAAATGTAACAGAGTGTTATATTCATAGTAATAAAGAAAAGTCTAGGATAGGAAAAGACAATGCAATAAAGGGGAGAAGTCGGGTCCTGCGAACGTCAGGCAGCTACCTCAACAACTCCTAAACCGAAATCCAAGATGACAGTAGCAGCTCCACTAAGTCTCCGGAGCACCTGAATCTGCACACATGGTGCAGGGAGTAAAGTGAGTACTTCCAACTTAGAAAGTAATAAACATATATAATGGCTGAAAGTAAGAAATCCCGAAATATTACAATATAAAGCTATAATCAACGATTTAGCACGTTAAACGATAAAACAACAGCAAACGATGACAATTAAGACCAACAGATATAAAATGCATGAATGCAATGCAATGCACATGACCGCTGCGGCGCGCAGCCCGATCCATTTGGGTACCCGAGCTCACTGTGGGGGTTCAGACTCCGGAGGGGCTCCTACAGCCCAAGCGCAATATCATCGTAGCATTCGCTGCGGCGTGCAGCCCGATCCATACTCAGTCCGGATATATATATGCATGCAAGCCACTCGGGCACAGTCAAAGTGTTCATCTTTTGGTTTCAATTATTAGGAGTTATAGAGCTATGTGTTTAAGTTTCATTTATTTACTAAACGTTTCAAAACAGTGTCTAACTCAGGACTGATATTATGAAATATGCTAAGCATCATAGAAACAGTGATGAGGATCCCTGAAGGATGCAAATGATAGGCACAAAGCCCCAACATATTCATAAAATCCAAGTAGGATGATTACCAAACAAATTTCTAGTCAAGAACACCGTACGAACATCAATCGGAACGGACTGGGTCAAAATCCCCAGTCACAATCGACCCCGCACTCGTTAGAGTGCGTGTCTCGCCTCAATATAGCGTCACAATGTGATATACCGGGGTTTCAAACCCTCAGGTCATCATCTACATCTATTACTCACCTCAAGCCGGCCACAAGTCTAGCTCGCTATGCCTTTGCCTTTCGAATCAACCTCATCGAACGCTGAATCTGATTAAAACCACAACGAATACGTTACAATAGGCTAAAGAAACATAACTCAATCGAAAAGACTCGAAAAATACCAAAATTCACGAAGTTGGCAAAACCCGAGCCCCGGGCCCACTTCTCGAAAAATTACGAAATTTATATCACTGGATTCCTCGTCTCACCACGAGTCCGTACATATAAAGTTTACCAAAATCGGAGCTCGTTTGACCCTCCAAATTCCATCTTTTACATCACAGCTTTCCAAGCCCTAGCTTGACCCGTTTTTGGTGAAATTCTACTGATTTCTATGATAAATGTACCATAAACTCGAGTAATTAGGCCAAGAGACTTACCTCCAATTGATTCTCAGTCAAAACCCTCGAAAATCCTCGCCCAAAGCTCTCCAAGTCGCTTAAAAATGGTGGAAACTACCCCTTGCTCGCGGATGAAATTTAACATTTTAAACCCTTCTGTTACCAGCGATCTTCGCTTCTGCGGTCCCGCTACCGCTTATGCGGGACCGCTTCTGCGGCCAAAAATCCGCTTAAGCGGTTTTCATTTAAAAACCGCCTATTCGCTTATGCGATTCAACCACCGCTTATGCGGTTCCCTCAAGTCCGCTTCTGCGGTACAGTGTCCGCTTATGCGGACCCGCTGGTGCGAGCCAGCTTCCGCTTTTGCGGAATTTCCCTAGCCGGCCAACGATCGCTTCTGCGACCACATACCCGC